GCGGAGCAGGGAGCCCGATGTGGGACTCGATCCCAGGACCCTGGGATCATGACCTGAGCCGAAGGCAGTCGCTTAACCAACTGAGCCACCCAGGCGCCCGGTTTTTTTTTTTTTAATTGAAGTACAGTTGACACACAATGAAGAACGTTTTAATTTTGACAGAATACAAGCATATTTTAAAATTCATCTGTCATAGGTTTCCCTTCTATTTTAGTTTGGATTAATCAGTAATTGCTTCAAATCCTAGAATAATACTCATCATACTAGAAGGTCAAAGTGAAACTTGTACCAAGGTTTTGGTTTAAGCAGACTCCTCTACCCACTTTAATAAATGTTAACTTCTATAACCACTGAAATGCATCAAATCCTGCCTCTACTACTCATTGGCTTGCTTCACTTCCTCCTTCTGGAAAATGGATATTAATACCTCCCTCAAGGGGTTATTGTGAGGATTAAATAAAATTACCATGACAAAGATGCTAGTTATCCTGATGATGATGGAAGTACAAGGCAAATATCCAAAGGGCCGCTACTTCTTGGGAGTCTTGAACTAGGTTCCTGGACCCACCAGGGAGTGAATCACATTATTTTCCTGCTCACCCACCTTCTGTGGTTCCTCACAGAACAAGTTTGCAAGGTGTTCAATACCTTCTATAATCGGAACCCACCCCACCCATCTGGCCTTACATACACGATTCTTTTGTGGTCTCACAAACATCCCAAACAAATTTTCATCTTGCTAACCCTTTCATTCTGAGTTCCTCCCTAGAGCTCAAACTCTGGTACTCCTGGCTATTCTATTCCACATTTGTAATAGTCTGCCTAGAACTCCTAGAGCATATTTCAGTTTTTGGTACTTAAACTAAACATCTACTATGTTAAAAGCACCGTGGGGAATCCAAACAGAAATCAAATGTGGAGCTTAACCTTAAGGGTAGAAGAAAGGGTCTGGTCAAGTAATTACAATACAAAGTAGAATGTAATAAGCGTCATGAGGGAGATACATTAACACAAAGATTTACCTTTTTTTTGTTTTTTTAAAAGATTTTATTTATTTGACAGAGAGAGTGCACAAGCAGGGGGTGTGGCAGACAGAGGGAAAGGGAGAAGCAGGCTCCCCACTGAGCAGGGAGCCCGATGTGGGGCTCGATCCCAGAACCCTGGGATCATGACCTGAGCCGAAGGCAGACGCTTAACTGAGTCACCAAGGTGCCCCAAGATTTATTTTTTTAAATTGTCATCTTATCTTCTGTTAGTCAAATCTGAAGACTGTTTCACTTTTTTTTTTTTAAGTAGGCTCCATGCCCAGTGTGGGGCTTGAACTCACCACCCTGAGATCAAGATTTGCATGCTCTACTGACTCAGCCAGCCAGGCACCCCAGTAACACAAAGACTTAAATAAGGGATTTTTTTCTGCAGCAGAAGAGGAGCTTGGTGGGTGGAAAGGAGAGAAGGCTTTATAGGTAGAAGAAAAAGTAAAAGCGAAGTGGAGAAAGAAAATTCTGGGTGTCTAGCATGTATTAGAGACAACACATAATTTAACAGAGAATATAGCATTTGTGAAGGAAAACAGTGAGAAAAGTGGGTTGAGAGGATCGATCCCATCAGTGTTTCTCAAAAAGTACTCTATGGCCATGGAAGGCCCTGGGCATTTATCAGGTAAGGCAATGGCCCACAGGTGGTTTGGTGGTTTTGGAAGAAAAACTGATGACACTACTGTATTTATATACTTCATCGGACAATCCTATGCGCCTCCTCAGATTCTTGCGATCTCTCAGCCAACCACTCTCAATGACAACCCCTGGGAGGCCGATATGAGTCCCCCTGGCATCTCTTGCTCCTTCCACCACTCAAATTCAGATGAACACAATGTGGCATAAAGTGGGACCTGGCCTCCCCAGAAGATGCCAGGCGTCTAGGTGAATGTCACCAAAAATGGGTGTCAGGAGACTCTGCCAACCAAGGCAAAAATGGTTTCTTCTTCAATTTTATTCCTGTTTAAAAATGTCTTGGGGGTTGGAGGAGACAAGAGGAAGGGGATTGTCAAAATGTATCAAAGCCCTGTTTTATTTCAATCAGGGTGGGTACACACAAGGTATGGCACTAGAGAATGGTCATTATGACCACTCGTCATGGCACCCAGATAGCCTGTCCACTAGGAGTAAAGGGAGAGCTATCTTCTTCAGGACCAGCATCAGCTGGAAAAGACTGTATGTGTAGGAAAAAGGGAACATAGTTTACGAATCCTGTTTGCAGACTCCCTGCTAAAAGCAATGGGCACACATGATTGGAGACATCTTGGCAAATTCACATGACCTCGACACAGGCAGGTGGATCTAGAGCCTAAGACAGAGGAAGAAAGCTGAAGCAGTGCCTCCATGAAATCATGCTGCCTTCTCCCAAATCACTGCTATTTATTCTAAAATGTTGAAGCAGAGCATGAAAAAATGGGCAATATGCCATTTACATTCAGATTGCAACTGGATATAAATCCTGACATACTCAGTGTTGCTAGACACTAGCTTATAACCAGTATATAAGCAGAGTGACCCCATCAGAGGAAAAGTTTCTATGCTGTGTGGCCCTCTTTTGAAAAAAATGAGGAAGTTTCTCTCTGCTTCTACTATAGAAAAATAGTTATTTTGTGCCGAGATGCAAACACCTTCAGAGCTGGCTCTGGATCTGATGCTTTGAAGAAGACAGAAGTTCCTCCCTCTGTGAGGAGTCCCTGCTTTCTACATGGTGTGTGCTGGTACCAAAGCCTCTGGCCATAACCCTGAAGACAGCCTGCTTGTTGCCACAAATGTCCTCAAATTCATCACTGCTCAGGTCTTCAATCACTGCCTTGGCAAGAGCTTTTTCTTTTATTCCTAAGAAACGTGAGTCGAATGTAGTCTTTCACTAACATAGAAGTTCTCTGGCTTCCTAGAGAGCAAGCACCAAGCACGAGTGCTTTATTTCCAATTCTCCAGGAAATCACCAATAATTTTTATACAAACGACAGGAGGAGAGTCACGATACTTGGGACAGCAGTGATCTCTGCACGCGTATGGGCTGTGCATTCCGCCAGGAAGTGAGGTGCGGACCACACTCCTTCCAGGAGCTGCAGGTATAATGTACATTAGTAGACAGTACCCAGCTATATCAAAACATGGAAGCTTGGTTCCGTCTGGGTAATTTCTTAGTTTTCTGTCTCACTAATTTTATCAGCCACCTCCCTTCTTCTTCCTCCTGACCCAGACAGTAACTCACCTTTGATGGATTGAATGGAATACCCAGGTATGAAGAGCCTCGGAAACCACAGCGGTTTAGATTTGATCCTAGAAAATAAATACATGTACTTATTTAGAGTATACTTTATTTTTGTTCGGACTCTACAGCAGTTCAATTAAACATTCTTTCAGAAACTGAGCATTTTAGTATGAAAGTTTTGTCACTGTGTCCATTTTCATTCTAGCTAACGGTTTAGTATCAAAGCTTTGTTACTGTGTCCATTTTCACTGGTTAATGCTCACCATGAGCCAAGGCTGTTCTCTTTTTGTGGGAATTTCCTCATTTAATTTAATTTTCAAAAAAAATTTTAAGTTTATTTATTTTAAAACAATCTCCACACCCAACATAGGGCTCAAACTTACAACCCTGAGATCAACAGTTGCACACTCTTCCGACTGAGCCAGCCAGATGCCCTTCTCATTTTCAAACCAGGGACAAAATAATGATTTCCTACCATGTACCTTCAGTTTATAGCCTACCTCACTGCATACAAAATGCTTCCATATCTTTTCCGTATGATCATTTTTCATGTGATCAACATATTTAACCCCATGCTAAAGGAGAGAAAGCAGAAGCCCAGAGGTTGAGTGACATGTTCAAGGTAACGCATCAGAATCTGGAATCCTAATTTCCCATCCAGTGTCTTTCTACTTTAACTCATTGCTTCTTTACATGTGAGCAAACTAAAGGTATAAGCTGCTCTAGTTGCAAAAAATATACGTACTTAGTATTTTAGTATTGGACAAATCTTCGTTCTGAGTCTAATAACGTACTTTGAAGTACTGGGAACTTAATAAGCCAGAAACTTGAGTCACATCCATGAAAAGGGAGCCCTGTGCACTGGTGGTGGGAATATAAATTGGCACAGCCATTATGGAAAACAGTATGGAGGTTCTTAAAAAAATTGTAACTAGAACTACCATATGATCCAGCAATCCACTACTGGGTATATATCCAAAGGAAAAAGGATCGCTATCTTGAAGATATGTCTGCAACCCTGTGATCACTGCAACATAATTTATAATAGCCAAGACATGGAAACAATCTAAGTGTCCAACGACAGATGAGTGGATAAAGAAAATTTCTCTCTCTCTCTCTGTTCCTCACATAGACACAACACCAGAATGTTATTCATCCATAAAAGAGGAAATTCTGCCTTATGTGACAATACATGGAACTTGAGGGCATTATGCCACATGAAGTAGGTCAGAGAGAGAAATAAATACTATAATACTTTATGTCCTCACTTATATGTGGAATTTAAAAAGGCTGAACTCACAGAAACAGAGTAGAATAGTGGTTGTCAGGGGCTGAGAGAAATGGGGAGATGTTGATCAAAAGTACAAACGTCTACCTGTAAGATGAGTAAATTCTGGGGATCTAATGTACAGCATGATGGCTATAATTCATAGGACTGTATTATATCCTTGAAAGTTATAAGGAGAGTGGGGCGCCTGGGTGGCTCAGTTGTTGGGCGTCTGCCTTCAGCTCAGGTCATGATCCCGGGGTCCTGGGATCAAGCCCCACATCGGGCTCCCTGCTCAGCAGGGAGTTTGCTTCTCCCTCTCCTGCTCCCCCTGCTTGTGTTCTCTTTCTCTCTATGTCAAATAAATAAATAAAATCTTTAAAAAAAAAAAGTTATAAGGAGAAATCTTAAATGTTGTCACACCACACACACACACACACACACAAAAGGAAATTATGTGAGGGGATTGTGGTAATCATTTTGCAATATATTCATGTAACAAATCATCATGTTGTACACCTTACACTCATATATATGTCAATAATACCTCTATAAAGCTGGAAAAAAATAAGAAAACTATAAATGAAAAATTAGTTACACCCACAATGAGAACGTAATTATGGTTTTGATAGCTATTAGAAAATCAGCATGACAGATGTAGAGGACAGAAGTGAAGTATCCACAGAATGTGCATGCATTTTAATAAAAAGTCAAGTAGATGTGGAGTGCCTTGGTGGTGCAGTCAGTTGATCACTTGACTCTTGGTCTCAGCTGAAGTGTGATCTCAGGGTCATGAGATCGAGCCCCACGTCCGGCTCCACGCTCAGCACAGAGTCTGCTTGTGTTTCTCTCACCGTCTCCCTCTGCCCCTCTCCCTGTGCTTTCTCACTCTAAAAATAAATAAATCTTAAAAAAAAATCAAGTAGATGTATAAATAGTTTTTTTTTTTTAAGATTTTATTTATTTATTTGACAGAGAGAGAGACCGCAAGAGAGGGAACACAAGCAGGGGGAGTGGGAGAGGGAGAAGCAGGCTTCCCACCGAACAGGGGGCCCGATGTGGGGCTTGATCCCAGGACCCTGGGATCATGACCCAAGATGAAGGCAGACGCTTAACAACTGAGCCACCCAGGTGCCCCTATAAATAGGTTTTGAGGTGCGAAACTAGTTTCATATCTCTTACGACTGCAACATGACTAATTCATACTAATTAGTTTTCACTCTTCTATTTCTTCACATCAGGTACTCTATTTAGCTTTGTATCTCCAATAGTACTTAGAATAGTAACTTAAACATTAATTTCTTGAACAATTTAGGGAACTTTACCCACTAAATGTAAAACTTTCCACTAACCACCTTCCCCCTTTAACAAAAAAAATTACATGAAAAAGGGTATTGTCTAATGGTGAAGATACTAAGGAACACAGTTCTCCCATCTTTGCTAAAGATTTTGCTAAAAAATGGGTAAGCCACTTAAGACTTATCAATATACAGTAAGAGTAATAAAAAGGCTCAGACTCTGACTGGATAATGATACATCTGAGAATTTACTCCAGTAACTTCCAATATAAGAAAGGTCACATGCACAGAAACATGCAATGTAGTATTACACTGGTAAAATCCGGAAGCAAACAGAAGTCCAACAGGTTAATGTGACACTCTATCTCCTCAAAGGAACATTAAACTGCTGCTAAAATACTTAGGGAAAACTATGTAGCAACATGGAGAAGTGATCAAAAGTAGGACACAAACATTTATGTGATTATGTTTATAATTAAGCAAAGGATGCTTATCAACAAAACCCAGAAGGGAATAAACAAAAGAAAATTGTGTGGTATGACAGGAGAGTGAATTCTGTTCTTTGTATGAGTCATTTTTGCCCTAACAAATTATCACAAACTTACTACCTGAAACCACACCCACTTATTGTCGCACACTTCTGTACGTTCCGAAGTCCGTGAGGTCCACCAGGCTGGACCGGGGTGCTGGTAGGGGTTGCACCCCCTGCTGGAGGCTCTGGGGAACAATGCCCCTCAAGTTCCTTCAGCTTGTTTGGCGGGTGTGGGACTGAGGGCTCCAAGTGTTTGCTCACTCCTGGAGGCCACTCCTGCCACTGCTTGCATCTGGCCCCTGTACCGCCTTCTTTAAAGGGCTCATGTGGTTGTACTGGGCAACACCTAGCACCCCCCCCACCCCTGTACATGAAACACCTGCAGATAATCTCCCTATTTTGACGTCAGCTGATTAGTAACCTTAATTTCATCTTCAAAGTCCACAGTGCCTAGTGTCTGAACAACCACTAAAACCAATAAAACTTTCGCCACATCAACAATATGATGGTTTTGCTTTCTTAACATTCGTGTGTTCACTGGAGTATCACTTTTTTTTTTAAGTTTTATTTTTATTTAAGTAATCTCTACACCCAACATGGGGCTCAAACTCACAACCCTGAGATCAAGAGTTGCATGCTTTTCCAACTGAGCCAGCCAGGCACCCCTGGAGTAGCACTTTTAATTTCCTTCAAGAACTTTTACTTTGCATACACAACGTGGCCAACTGGCATAAGAGGCCTAGCTTTCAGCCTATTTAGGCTTTTGACATGCTTTCTTCACCAAGCTTAATCATTTCTAGCTTATGATGTAGAGCGAGAGATGTGCGACTCTTCCTTTCACTTTAACACGCAGAGGTCACTGTGGGGTTACTAACTGGCCTAATTTCAGTACTGCTGTGTCTCAGGAATTAAGGAGCCCCAAGGAGAGGGATGAAGGGGAACCGCTGCTCAGTGGAGCAGTCACAACCCACACGTTTATCAATTAAGTGCACCATCCTATATGGGCACAGTTTGTCGTGCCCCGAAACAATCAGAGTAATAACATCAAAGATCACAGATCACCATAGTAAATATAATGAAAAAGTATGAATTATTGCGAAAATTACCAAAATGTAAAACAGAGACCTGAAGTGAGCAAATGCTGTTAGAAAAATGGCACCAATAGACTTGCACGACACAGAATTGCCACAAACCTTCCATCTGTAAAAAATGCACTATCTGCAAGGCATATTAAAGTGAAGTGCAATTAGGGTGCCTGGGCGGCTCAGTTGGTTAAGCGACTGCCTTCGGCTCAGGTCATGATCCTGGAGTCCCGGGATCGAGTCCCGCATCGGGCTCCCTGCTCAGCAGGGAGTCTGCTTCTCCCTCTCCCGCTCCCCCCTCTTGTGCTCGCTCTCACTCTCTCTCAAATAAATAAATAAAATCTTTAAAAAAAAAAAGTGAAGTGCAATTAAATGAGGAACACCTGTTAGTCAGGGTTTGAAAAAATCTTTCTGAATGAAATATCATTTCCTTACAGGTAAATGACTAAACAGTATTTCTATTTGTTCATTTCTATGTTTTTAGCTTATTTACATCAATAACTTTTCTGAAAATTTCAGCATCAAAAATACTGATGTTCAAAAACATCACCAAAGGTTAGGAGACTGTGGCATGGCCAAGTGGAGTCAAACCCAAGATCCTATTCTTACTAGCTCTGTGTTCTACAGGCAAATAACACCCTCTCTGAGCTAGTTCCCTCCATTTCTGAACAAGGAACAGTAATGTATAGCAAGCAGTATTTTGCAGGGTTCTTGTAAGGTTTAAAGGACACGGGCAGATAATGCTCAGCACAGTGACCAAGGCACAGTCAACAGTAACCAGTTCCAACGGATTCATTAGCTTTTTACAAAAGTGAAATAGGAGGAAAGGAACAGCTTCTGTGTAATTGATCAAGAAAAGTTTGGTTTTTTTAAAAAAAGATTTCATTCATTCATTCATTCATTCATTCATTTATTTATTTATTAAGAGAGAGAGTGCACTCGAACACTGAGGAGAAACAGAGGGAGAGGCAGAGAGAGAAGCACGCTCTCTGCTGAGCAGGGAGCTGAGTACAGAGTCTGCGTGGGGCTCACATGACCTGAGCCGAAGGCAGACGCTTAACTGACTGAGCCACCGAGGCAACCCCAAGAAAAGTTTCTTTAAAATCAAAATGCCTTCAGGGCGCCTGGGTGGCTCAGTCGTTAAGCGTCTGCCTTCGGCTCAGGTCATGATCCCGGGGTCCTGGGATCGAGCCCAACATCGGGCTCCCTGCTCCGAGGGAAGCCTGCTTCTCCCTCTCCCACTCCCCCTGCTTGTGTTCCCTCTCTCACTGTGTCTCTCTCTGTCAAATAAATAAAATCTTTAAAAAAAAAAAAAAAATCAAAATGCCTTCTCTTCCCCCTTTTCAAGTGTATACTGTCACTAAAAAAAAAATTCATTAGGCAATCCTTTCTGATTCTTGTCAATATTTGTCTGCTATTGTGCGTTCCTTCATAATTCTAGTTAGCTTCCCTATTCATGATAATTATTAAGTATAAATGCACAATTCATTCCAAATTTACAACAGGATGCATACTCCCGATAGCCTAAGCTTCCTTGGAGGTTGCTGGATGGCGCCATCTAGTGTTCCTATTCAGTAGCAGCAAAATAAACCGGAAGGGTGGGTCTGGGTCCCAACAGGATCTAGTGCATAGTCTGAAAAAAATATACAGGCTTCTAGGGTCCTATCTCAGGCCCACATCAAAACCTTCAGAGTAGGGCCTGGACAATCATACATAAAAATAAAAACAATCCCTGTTGGACAGACAAGTCAGAATCGAGAGCCACTGATATGGTGAATGTATCCTCTACTATCAGAGGCACAGAGTCAAACTAGTTTATCTTGTTACGGGGAAGTCGTTCAGATAGCAATATATCATATGCATCTAGGTACACCTCCTTGTTTCAGACTGTCAAGAGACCTAGACAAGGTAAACAAAACATTCTAGAGCCTACAAAATGGGTTTGTATACCTATTTTCTAAATTTCACAGATTGGTTTCAGAGTCAGACCTAGGCCAACTAAGGAAAAGGCAGGTGGGAGACTTCTTTTCATAGATGGAGACTTAATAGTTTCATGCAACAAAACAGTAAATGGAGAATTGAGAATTGCAGTTGGACTGTGACAAGATCTGTGGTGTGGCCTACCAGACACACGGTGAGGGACAGTTGGGCACATAATCACTGCGGGGCTATCTCTGCAAAAATTCTTGATCTATAATTCTTCCAAAACAGACATGCTATAATTTTTGAAATGTGCAACATGCTCAGTTTAGGCACATGCAACTATACTTACACTTGTAGGCATGTTATTTTAAAAAGGCAGCAATGGGACTTAAAAATCTACTTTAAAAAAATCTCACAGGAGGGGCGCCTGGGTGGCTCAGTCGTTAAGCGTCTGCCTTCAGCTCAGGTCATGAAACCGGGGTCCTGGGATCAAGCCCCACATCGGGCTCCCTGCTCCGCAGGAAGCCTGCTTCTCCCTCTCCCACTCCCCCTGCTTGTGTTCCCTCTCTCGCTGTCTCTCTCTCTGTCAAATAAATAAATAAAATCTTAAAAAAAAAAAAACTCACAGGAAAACACACATGATGAACAGAGCACCTATTGTACGGAATCAGTACTGGAAATCTCCAGGAATGGGAATCTCAAAGGACTAGAAAACAGAAAACTGTACTCTAATTTTGCCTCTAGCATTAATGAGCTATATTATCGTGGACAAATTATTTGTCTCTTTGGATCTTAATATCCTCATGTGTACAATGACAGACTATAATATTCCTTGCTCTGTTCTAGCTCCAAAATTCTCTGGCTGTATCCTTGATGAGATAAGGGAACACACAACTCCCAGCCCGATCCCCTGTGTTTCCTGAACACTTCCGGAGGTTGACAGGAAGGGCCCCAACCCTCCAATGGTCTGACCACACACTTATAGTAAGATACCACTGGGGTCTTTACAACCCTGGGGTCAAGTGAAAAGCCAGGGTTAACTCTGATTAAATATTCATGATGTACTTAAGTGTCACACACATGACAGTCTCCACCAGGAACCTATATACTTCACCAGTAAAGCAGCACTGGGGCCTGGGAGTCAGAAGCCTGGGATTTCAGTCTGACTCTAACACTTAATAGCTATGCATGGCCTCAGGCAGGTCTTTTTTTTTTTTTTAAACAAGCTGTGGCCAGTTTTATTAAAGAAAAATTTTGCGTGATTTACTTTTCACCAGTCTGTTCTGGCATGCTTCGAGTGATATCAGAATCACCTGGATCAGTGATAGCCAGTGTGCATACTCTGTAGTATTTCCCACACGCTGTGCCCAATTCAGTATTATTGCCACTATAGGGATGGGCACCAGTTTTGGCCAACATGGCACAGTATTCTATTTCAGATTTCCTCAAGGCTGGGCAGTTGTTGGCGAGGATGACCAGTTTCGCTCTGCCATGTCTGATCATTTTCAGAGTCTGCTTGTACCCCAGCACGTACTTTCCACTTTTCATAACAAGCTGGAGCCTGGAGTTGATCGACTCCAGCGACTTTTTCGTCTTCTTTGCGGCCACCATCTTCCTGCCTTAGATGCGGGACGGCCCCAACCAAAACCAGCCGCCAAAATGCTCAGGCAGGTCTCTTAATCACTGTCTCTCATTTTCCTCTTCTGGAGAAGGCAGATTAGGGGAAGAACAAATTTGACAATGTATTTGACAGTGCCTTAAAAATCATAAAATTTTAATTAACGTACAGCATTATTTCTGCATTAGCAAAATATCAATATTTGTATATAATAACCCTGTAATATTAAATTTATTTTTTTATTTTTGTTGTGTTTTGAGGAGAGGTTCAAGGTTTTTCTAACTTCAATATTTAAATATGGAAACCTACTGTGAATACACAAACAATGCAGGTATAAAGATTAAAATTAAAGTACTACCTTATCCTGCCATCCCCCCAAGTCTGTTCCCAACCCCCCCCCCACAAAGATTTTCTTTCAGAATTTTCACTGTATGTTGATAGCCAAAGATTGTTGAAACATCTCTGTAGATGTTGGTATTTATAATTTAACCATATATGAACATTTTCATGTTGGTATATACATAGATCTACCTCGATCACTTTAATACTGCATAGTATTCTTGGTGGACCATAGTTTAGTTAACTGTTTCACTCCCTTTCTACTTGGTCAGTGTAACGAACAATGCCAAAACATGTTCTACACAGATTTTTGTGCACACGTTATTAGTTTCCTGAGGTATCAAATTCTTACAAATCCGGAGGATTTCAACAATGGAAATTTATTTGCTTGGAGTTCTGGAAACCAGAAGTCCAAAATCAAGGTGTTGGCAGGACCGGTTCCTTCCGGAGGTTCTGAGGGAGAAACCGTCTCATGCTTTTCTCTCAACTTCTGGTGGCTCTGGACAATCCTGGCATTCCTCTGTGTAGTAAGCATCACTCTAACCTCCACCTCTGCCCTCACAGGGCCTTCCCCTCAGGGTCTGGAATCTCCCTCTTCCCTTCTCCTAGAAGGACACCAGTCACTGATCTGGAGATGCTTACCTTAACTACATCCGCAAAGGCCCTTCTTCCAACTAAGGTCATATTCTGAGGTTCTGAGCGGACCTATCTTTTCGGGGCCATTATTCAACCCACTACAACACACACGAGAATATGTCAGATGCGATAAAAGATTATACTCAGAAATGACTCTCAAAAGGTTACAATGATTTTCACTTTCACCAAAATGATATTAGGGTGCTCTTTCAGGACGCCTGGGTGGCTCAGTCAGTTAAGCATCTGCCTTCGGCTCAGGTCATGATCCCAGATCCTGGGATCGAGTCCTTGCTCAGGGGGGAGCCTGATTCTCCCTCGGCCTCTGCCTGCCGCTCCTCCTGCTTGTGCTCTCTCTCTCTCTGACAAATAAAAAAGTAAAATCTTAAAAAATAATAATAATAATAATAAGGTGCTCTTTCCCCTGTATTCTTGCCAACTTTCCAAACTTCCGGCTAAATTGATGAGTTAGATAAAAAAATAATGCACCATTGTTTCTACTGTATCTCCCTGACTTTTCTCGTAAGGTTAATCCTCTTTCATGTAGTTACTGACTTCTTTTGAGATCCTCCTATTCTTAAATTTTGTCATTTTCTAAACAGTGATGTGTTATTTTCCTCTCAATCTTTAAGAATTCTTCACAGTCTGGATATTAATATTTTATTATATATATCACCACAATTTCCAAGCCTGTTACTTATTCAACCTTACCTCTTACTAAACAACATTTAAAAGTGTTTATTTAATCAAACTTACCAAGTTTTTCTTTTATGGTCCTGGGTTTTTAATATTTATAGATTTTTAAATTCCCTAAGATTTTTTTTTATTTTTTTCATTTTATTGTTATGTTAATCACCACACATTACATCATTAGGTTTAGATGTAGTGTTCCATGATTCATTGTTTGTGCATAACACCCAGTGCTCCATGCAGAACGTGCCCTCTTTAATACCCATCACCAGGCTAACCTATCCTCCCACCCCCCCTCCCCTCTAGAACCCTCAGTTTGTTTTTCAGAGTCCATCATCTCTCATGGTTCATCTCCCCCTCCGATTTCCCCTAAATTCCCTAAGATTTTATGTGATATCACAAAGTAGGACAAATACAGACCTATGAGTTACAGAAAGCACCTTCTACTCAGTCTGCAAATGCCTTATGAATGAGAAAATATTTGAGGAGTCAAAGGATGCTTAAATTAGGTGTCCTGAGATGAAATTTCCAACAAGCAATTCTTAGAACACGAGCCATTCATTCAACTCAACTGAATACAACTCAATGTCATCAACTCAATTCTGACACTATGCACAGATAGCCATTGGAATGCACAGGCTGAGGGCTCAGTCCGTCAGGACTCCAAACCATCCCCCCACCCCCAACTTCAGGCACCAGATGCAAGCCCCATTAGCTGTGCTGCTTCTGACCGACTGGCGATGGACTGTAGGTTCTCAAGAGCCCCTCTCCTTGGGTACAATTAATTTCCCATAGCAGCTCACAGAACTCAGAGAAACCTATTACTTGACAATAAAAGAATGTAACTCAGAAACAGCCAGATGGAAGAGATGCTTAGGGCAAGGTATGGGGAAGGGGCAGGGAGCTTCCATTCTCTCCAGGAGCCCCGCTCTCCCGGCACCTCCACATGTTTGCCAACCAGGAAGCGCTCTGAACCCTGTCCTTCCGGGTTTTTATGTAAGTTCCACGACATAGGCAAGAATGATTAAATCACTGGCCACTGGCAATTGCTTCAACCTCTGGCCCCTCTCCACTCCCCAGAGGTCAGGTGGTGGGACTGAAAGTTCCAACCATCTAATCACTGGCTGGCTCCAAGGACCAACAGCCCTCAACCTTAGGTGCTTTCCAAAAGTTACCTCATTAACATAACAAAAGATATCTTTTAACACTCTCAATGCTTAGGAAATGCCAAGGGTTTTGGGAGCTGTGAGCCAGGAACTGTGATTGAAGGCCAAATATACATTTTCTTATAAATCACAATATCATGATGCTGTAGACCAAATGTGAAAATAAAGAGAAGAGGAACAGTTAAGTTGGAAGAGGTATGGATGATTTAATGGTCCAACAACTCCTGAGACACAACAAAGCTTTAGGCACTGAAAGAAAAATCTAAGATGGACACATTCTCTCCCCCGCTAGAAGTTTACAATTCAGATGCAAGCAAAAATATTTTAAGTAACAGTTAAGCAGTGACAAATGAAAAAAAAAAAAGCAATGGGCTTCAAATCAATGAAATCCATGGAGTTCACAGTACAATGCGAAAGAGAATCCTGATGGGTCTCAAAAGAGATGGAAAGTACCAATATGAATTCAAAGAAAAATTTTAAAACTTCCATCAAACTATAATAAACATAAGAAAAGCATATTATCATAATGAAACAACTCAATGAACTTTGCAAAGTAAACTTATCCATATAACCAGTGGTCGGCTCAAGAAAAGTACATGACAGCACCCTAGACGCCCCCCTCCTACTTCGCTCCTACCTTCTTTTCTTCATACTTCCTTCACTCCCCAAAAGTTCCCATTGGTTTGGTCTATTTTTATACTTTGTATAAAGAGAATAATACACTAGGTACTTCTTTCTCTCAAAACATGTTTGTGACATTCATCAAAATTTTTGTTTTACAGTTATAGACTGTTCTTTCTCATTTTCCACTGTATAGTATTCCATTGTGTGAATATTTTAATACATCATTCATCTATTACACCAATGATGGGTAGTTTTTATGGTTCCTACTTTTGGACTCCTGTGAAAAACACTGCTATGAACATTCTAGTACGTATCTTCTGGTGAACACGTTTTCACTTCTGTTGGGTATGAACTAGGAAGCAGAAGTGCTAGGTCATGGACTGCACGGATGTTCAGCTTTAGCAAGTACTGCCAGTTTTCCAACTCTTGGACAGTTTTCCTTCAGCTCCCCGTGAGAGTTCCAATTGTGCTACACTCTCGCCAACAACCGTTATTTTCTACCTTCTCCATTTTAGCCATTCTAGTGAGTATGTAGCAAATGCAATTATTACGAATAATATGAAAGTTCAGATAACAGCAAATCTCTCACAACAAAGCAGTCTTTAGAGAGAATATGGATTTTTAAAAAAGATTATTTAGGGGCGCCTGGGCTGCTCAGTCGTTAAGCATCTGCCTTCGGCTCAGGTCATGATCCCAGGGTCCTGGAATCGAGCTCCCAGGCGATCCCCGCATCGGGCTCCTTGCTCAGCAGGGAGCCTGCTTCTCCCTCTCCCCCTTCTTGTGTTCCCACTCTCGCTGCCTCTCTCTGTGTCAAATAAATAAATAAAAAATCTTTTAAAAAAACTTAAAATAATAAAAAAGATTATTTGAGAGTGAGAGAACATGTGTGCAAGCACGTGTGAACAGGAGGGGGGAGAGGCAGAGGGAGAGAATCTCCAGCAGATTTCCCCATGGAGCGCAGAGCTGATCGCATGCTTCACGCGATCATGACCTGAGCCAAAACCAAGAGCTGGACGCCCAACCGACTGAGCGACCCAGATGCCCCAAGAATACGGGTTTTAATTAAACTAACTGCACAAAAAAAGTTCATGGACTTGTTTAGTCACACACCCAAGGGATAACAAAATGACATGTATAAAGTCCACATTTAAGAGCGTAAAAACAGGAGCCTATTATTTAGTGGCACTGCTTTTCCAGTGGGAGAAGAATTAACCAGTTATTTTAACCATTCTGGTAAGTTGCATTTAAAAAAGAATACATGTATTAATGGGTATCAAGCGGTTGTGAAAATCTTACAATAAAATGGTAGAAGAAAATAAACATATTTTAAGAGAAGACAATAGCACAGCTCAATCACAGAGGCCAGCAAAGAATCCTCAAGAGTGGGGAGAAATATGAAGACAGAAAATAGAAAGCATAGTGAATACATGACAAATTACTGCTAACCAAAACCTGACTTCTCTCACTCAAATGTTATGATCCATATTTTTCTAGAGTAGCAATGGCTATTTTATTTCAGGGAAATGAGTATCAATAAATTCTTTCTAAAAATAATATAAAATATATTTTAGCAAAAAACATACAGAATAGCTTTCCTATGACTAACACTATAATTTCCTATGCATACTATGTGAGATACATCCCTTTAAGAAACTACAGTGTATAATTTAATCAGGATATGTATTTTTAATAATCAATCAAAAATTAGAATCTATAATAATACTACATCTAATATTTAACTTTTATAGTTTAAGAAAAAATCCCAGACCTACTCAAATTAGTAAAAAAAAATCTAGTAAAAAGGGGAAACAAATTACTTCCACTTTGCAGGTGTCTAGAACTGTGACCTCACCTCAGCCACAAGCTCCAAGAGAATAAGCAGCATATCTTGTAATTATCACAGCCCTTCTCCACACGTTTAGCAGGGCATTCAATAAATCCCACTCACCAACATGCTAGAATCTCTACTGACCAGAATATCACATACGCTGCTTCATGCAGCTGGTGAAAAGTGAGTAGATATTTATGTGCAACAGACCTAGTTCAAAATGCTTAATCATTTTTTTTTTTTTTTTAAAGATTTTACTTATTTGACAGAGAGAGACACAGCGAGAGAGGGAACACAAGCAGGGGGAGTGGAAGAGTGAGAAGCAGGCTTCCCGCTGAGCAGGGAGCCCAATGTGGGGCTTGATCCCAGAACCCTGGGATCATGACCTGAGCCGAAGGCAGACGCTTAATTACTGAGCCACCCAGGTGCCCCAAAATGCTTAAGCATTTTTAAACAAGAATTCAACAGGCAGATTTTAAAAATTATAAACACAAACACTATGAAATCCAAGAACAATAAAGTAGAAAGACAAAATTACGTCCAAGAACATCTGCTAATAGATCAAACCTCTTTCTTTCTAAACAAAGCTTTAGCTTATTATTTCCCTAAAGTTCATCTAAGTGAGACATTTATAAATGTTTACTCCAAGCAATAAAACACATGGTCATTTTATAAATATTGGCTCTTAGAAGCCAGGTAAGTGGTGACCATGATAAAAACTGTGTCATTTCCCAGGAGTTTATCTGTTTCTCTTTTCAAGGTTAGAATTTCTAACACCTACAAGTTAAATCAATGTTAGGTATGTTACACTTAACAGAGTGAACAATAAGGTGTATAAAGCTTGTGTGCATTTAGTTGATCAGGTAACATATAAATTTTGAAAACTAATTAAAAAAAAAAGAAAAATAACTGACCCAAATTTATAAAGTTTATAAGCATGAAAAGGACTGCAGTGCTAGTAAGAGTTCTAAGAAACCATCAGAGAAAGGCTAATGAAACCCGAGAAGGAAAACCGACAGGAGACTGAAATGAAACTTTTTGATGACAAAGAGTTCACTGAAAAGACAAAAAGAACGGCTGGGAATGAAAAATACAGCAAATGCTACAAAACTAATTCAACAAAAATACCAAGTACAAATAACTGACAAGTAGTCATCCACACGGAAGTGCAGAACATAACATGTGGCTACAACTGCAAATCTCGAATCCCAGACAACTGCATAGTGGTTCTCTCAAGAGATTAATGATTAGACTTTTTAATTTTTTATTTATTTTATTTATTTTTTTTTTTAAGTAATCTCTACCCTCAACGTGGGGCTCGAACTCACGACCCTGAGATCAAGAGTTCCACGCTCCACTGACTGAGCCAGCCAGGTGCCCCAATGATTAGACTTTTCAAGTGTCATATTTGAAAGGGATGGGAGTGTAGCATTACAAGGAAAACATGGATGAATAAAATATGGTAATAGTTTATGAATTAATACTGAGATTTGCTAGTCTGACACATGTTATGCCAAGTAAAACTAACTAGCCACACTAAAAATAAAATGCTAAAAACTCACTCACTGTCTTCTGTGGGAAGGACCTGCAGGGAGTAAATCCACTCTATTATATCATCTTTGTTCACCACATCTAAGGAATCCAACATATCCAGCCCGGAGAGCGCAAAAAATGCAACTGTCAGCCTAAAAGAAAAAAAAAAAAAGTAAAATTCCATCTCAACTGTCAAAACACTGAAGTCTTTCTGGTTCAAAAAATAATAAAGTCTTTCTAATTTTAAACTTAATTCAAACAGTAATCTCATTTTACAAAAGCCAAAAAGCCCTGTTTAGAGTTTGTATCGATCAAACCTTTGTTTCATTTGTAAAAAGGAACATTTAGGGGTTAAAAAACCAGTCCTACTCATCTGATACATGCGTGGATTCACTAAAGCAACCTGAAGGCTAAAGCAGATTTAAAAAAGAATTGCCTGCACCTAATTAGTACAAGCAAATTCAAAAGGCTGAAAATATATAAAATCCCTATTTCCACTTATTTGCCAAGAGCAACTATACTTACAGTTTGTGCATAATTCTTAAGGAACGTTAGAATAAATCCATCTGTATTCAAATTTGTTAACAAATAATGTGACCGGAAAAAACTTAAAATGAATTTTGGGAAATAATACTTTAAAAAATACATATGCATTTCAACTCCATTTTCCCAGAGAGGATTCTTCGATGGAATGAAAAACTGTAAGGCAACACACTCCCCTCCAAGACTATACACTAAATGAGAAATGTAAACTTTGTTTTCATATAAAAACTAGTACTTTAGTGATTACTTTTTACATAAAGAATTTGTTATATATAATTCTTTTCAGGTTGAGATGCATTCCATACTGCTGTCTGAGCATGGTTATCTCATTTCTGTATTCTAACAATTCCTATAACTAATATAACAAATTAATATTTTAAATCATCTGGTCTAAAATCTGACAGCAAAGCCACTGGACACATTCTGTAACCTTTTCAACTAAGATTCCAAAAGAGAAATAAACCTTAACGCCCTAAAGCATCCACTGTGTGTAATAAATTAACTTCTTTCCCATGCCATCTAGAAAAATACTACCAACTTAAGGAAAAATGAGAAAAGTCACTTTTTTCTTTTTTAAGGGTATAATTCTCCTTGATTCCTGGTTGAAAAAGACTGGCATACATTAGATAACAGAAGGAGAAATCAAAGAGTAATTCTAACCAAAGCTTAAGGCAAAAACTAAAAATAATGCGATACTGGTACACTTAAGAAAAACAGATTTTGGGAAACTTACATTACTGAGAGACTATTACTATGTACTAGACACTGAGCTAGAAAATTTCTTATATACTATCTCAGTTTAATTCTAACAAACCACTGAGATCCACCAGAATTAGGGAGGTGATTTATCTGAGCACGATCAGGACTAAATTAAGGGCAGTGGAACCCCTTTATGTGGGAGGCTACAGTTCAGAGTTCAGACTTTGCCGTCAAATGAGCTAGGTTCAAATCCTAGGCTGGCTGATTTACAGCCATCTATAACCTGGGCAGGCCCTTTTCTAAATCTTTTCTAAGTCCACTTCCTTATCTATAAATTATTACACCTCACATTACTGCCCTCCCTGCCCACAAGCAAGCACTCAACAAACAGAAGCTATCATTACTGGTCATCTCCCTGATTTGACAGGAGTCAACGACCACCTCAGGATCTACACATGCTGTCACACTACAGGCCTTTTCTCAGGTCACTGGTTGGCAACCTTCTCCCACCCCCCCCACCCCCCAGACAACCCTGCTCTTTCCCAAAACAAAATGATACTTTAGAAATGGGAAGACCTTCTATCTAACAGCAGACATGTTTGAGAATCACTACTCTTCATGACAATTATGTCTCAGGAGATAAGTCTGCCTTGTGGTGATACATACTCAAATATTTATTGAAGTCACCAAGAGATAAAAGGCCTGCAATACTTCATCTAACCCCCCTGGAGAGCTCTCACTAGGGTTTTTGGTTTTGCTATAAATGGTTATAGTCAGATATAATTAATTAAAATTATCTAGTAATTTCGTTTATTAAAGCGTTATTATAGAAAAAAACAAAAGGAAGACAAAGACAAAAGTGGAGGACAACATGAGGTTGTTGATAAGACAACCTACAGAGGCTGGATAAATCAAAGATCTTCCTGTCAATAAAAAACATACATGATTAGAAAACACTGAAAGGGCTATAAAGATAAGCTGGTATTCTTTTCTAAGTTAAGTACTCTCTTAAATTTTTTTTAGCTCAAGACCATGAAGTCCAAAGAACTCAAGTAATTTGCTTGAGATTTCAATGCTAGATAACCAATGAAAACTACTTAGGAACTGGGAGTTGCAGGGTGGTGTTCTCCACAGGGATGTTTCTCAAACCTGGCTACATTGTTAGAATCAGCTTAAAAACAAACACTTAAAACACCACCAATAAAACACAGAGAGGCCCAGGCCTTACTCTATGATAATGAAATGGAAATTCTAGGTGGAAGGTGGGGTCTGCATAACTGGTATTGGGGGGGGGGGTGCGGTGTGGGAAGCTTCCCAGGTGAGGATAATGTGCAGCCAGGCTTTAGAAGCACTGCTCTAGGGGAGGCTGGATGGTTCAGTCATTTAAGCGTATGACTCTTGATCTCAGCTCAGGTCTTGATCTCAATGAGTTCAAGCCCTATGTTGGGCTCCATGCTGGGCATGGAGCCTGTTTTAAAAAAAGAGTGGGGGGGCGCCTGGGTGGCTCAGATGGTTAAGCATCTGCCTTCAGCTCAGGTCATGATCCCAGGGTCCTGGGATCAAGTCCCACATCGGGATCCCTGCTCAGTGCAGAGCCTGCTTCTCCCTCTCCCTCTGTCATTCCCTCTGCTTGTGCTCTCTGGCTCTGTCTATCTCTCTGTCAAATAAATAAATAAAATCTTTAAAAATAAAAAAAAGTGCACCGCTTTAGAGCAGTGATGCCCCAGGGGACATTCTAAAGACATTTTTGGTTGTCATAGAGGAGGGTGCCAGTGGCAGCTAGCTGGTAAACGCCAAGGATGCCGCTAAATGTCCCACCTACAACACATAGGACTGCGCCATTCAACAGAATGTCAACAGTGCTAAGGTTAAGTAACCCTGCTCCAAAGTCATACTGTTACCTGCATATAAGTGTTATATGAATGATCTGTTTTTCATTTTATTTGCTTCTGAATATGGATGCAAATACCAGAAATCAAGTCAGTTGCTGGTAAACTACTTTAAAATCTTGCCTACTTAATTATTAAAGGCTTCTGAGAGTCCGGTATTTTCAACTCCTAGCAGGTGAGACCAAGGTTTTAGGATTAACACAGCTCTAGTGAAAAGCTTATGCTTATGAAGTGAGGCGCCCAGCAGCGGCTAGCAGACAGAACCAAGAAGTCAATTTGGAGCAAATGTCTGGCCTCCCCTCTAAGGCTGGGAAAATACTCCTTTCTTAGCACACCAGAGTTCTTAAGCAGTCCTAAAACTCTGAGAGGGAGAGAATTAAATAAGTCATAAGAAAAAAAAAAGCAGTTTTGGGCTGTGGGCCTCTGAGGGAAATAATGGAGGGTTTTACGGTGCCCCAGTGAGGGCTACTTGGGGTATGGACTGCTGGCAACCCACCTGGGGGCAGGTGTCTAGAGGGGAAGTCACGCGAACACACAAGCCTAAAATCAGGCTGGTGAAGGTATTTCGACTTTGTTGCTTTGGAGAGCATTTGTTTGTTCTCTTCCTTTCTTCTCTTCCCTAGAATTGAACTCTGAAACTATAACCTGAAAAAGCAAAGCAAGCCAGCCACATCTTCCTGCCCCTTCTTCCACTCTGAACAACACATATGAAAGTGTATCTTACATGGATGAAGTAGTAAAGTTCGTCTCCTCTAAATCAAGTTGCTGCCCCACTGGATCAATTCACAGATGGGAGGCATCAACTAAATGATGTCTCCAGAAGATCTCCAATTTTTCACGCTTAAGAATAACATTTTCAGGCTTAAAAAACAGCACCCCCCAAAAAAATCCCCCAAGGATTAAATAGGGGGAAAAAAAAAGGAAAACCAGTCTGGGCAGTGGAAAAAAGAATTGAGCAATAGTAATAACTTTCCTGTGCTAATAAAGGAGTAGTGTACCATTAGGCTAGAGCAGGTAAGTGACCATTTGCGAGTATACTGGAAACAGATACATGGGCACTGACTAGATTCCCAAACTTTGGATCACCTGCTCTGCCCCTTTCCGCCAGTACAGTCTCTTTACCGGCATCTCCAAGTGTCTTTAACAGGTAACTGCATTCCTGCCTAGATCTCAGGTGGGGCAATAACTAAATCATACTGCAAAAAGTTCTAAAATTATGAACAAGCATTTACAAACAGGAAATATTTAGAAATAGGAACACAGTTGTTCAATAAAATTGGTAACAGTGGACATGATGAGAGAGCCTTAGAGGACAGATGGAAATTAATCATGAAGTTAAAATACACAGCACACAGCGGCCCCAAAAACACTCTGGAATTAATGACTGAAACGCTGCAGGAGTGCTAGAATTTTAAGCCTTACTCTTTTTTTTTTTTTAAAGATTTTATTTATTTGACAGAGAGAGACACAGCGAGAGAAGGAACACAAGCAGGGGGAGTGGGAGAGGGAGAAGCAGGCTTCC